CCTTTTACACTGCAGCCTCTGTGGACTGCAGAGACATTGGACTCTAAATTGTGAAATGATGCTTGGACTAAATATTTTTATTCCAGAAAGATGGCTGGAGGAAGACCTACGACTAAGTCTGTGCTTTGATGTGCAGAAAACCTGTGTATCTAGGATCTGTAGCTGGCTGAAGCTGAGATTTGAGGAATGATAATATCTGGTGAAAATGAGTTAAATGTGATTTGCATTGTATTTCCATGCTTGTAGCAAAAGTATGGAAAGGAATTTTTCAGTTTCTAAGATGGCTACTTTTCTCTCAGGTATATATGATAAGTGCAGGTCTGTTTTCTATAATGGAGAGTGGAAAAGAAAAACAAAGTGACCCAAAATGAAAGTGAGTGTTTGAATAGCTCTTTTAAAATCCCCCTGGCCTCTTGTTGCACTGTCTTTAGTTGAGTGCTTCTTATCACATGTCCTTTCCGAACTCTGTAGAGGGAAGTAGTGGCTCTGTTGTGGGTGTCTGAGACACTCTTAATTTAAAAAAAAGAAAGGCTTCTGGCCTTTTGTTCTGTTAGGTTGCCACTTGTTACAGGTGTTAGGCAATAGCACTGCTGAGATGGGAGACTGGTCCAATATGTAAATAATGTTTACTTTGTATTATTCAGAGAATCTGTTTTTACTTTATTCTAGGTAGAGGATGAAACTGTTTTACATAACATTCCTTATATGGGGGATGAAGTGCTTGACCAGGATGGTACGTTTATTGAGGAATTGATCAAGAACTATGATGGGAAAGTTCATGGAGACAGAGGTGAGTCCAGATGCACATTTATAGAATCTTGGTACTGGAAGGGACCTCAAACGTAGGGTGCACTGTTATTAAACCTGAATCAGTTCTTTGTACACAAATGCAAAACACTAGCATTTATGATGCAATCAGCTATAATACATGCTGTTTTATAAGCTAAATCTATACTACCTCTTCCCCATCATGATTATTGAGGACTTAATCAGTTACTGTTTATAGTATTACTTAGGACCCTCTATGCTGTGGGTATGGTGGGTGTTACAATTGTACTTAGCTTTAATATATGGCTTTATGTTCTAAAGTGCTGTATAAATATTAACTAAATTCTTGTGCCAGTTCAGGGTGGTGAAACAAAAGACATAGTTTCCCAAGAGCATAGCAAGCCATAATAGTTGAGATTTAAAGATATGGAAATTCTTGGTCATGTTCAGGCCACTGAAACGTACTGCTTCTTAGTCTATTTTGTCCTTTTTATTAGATGCAGTTTAGTTAAAAGGCAGAATTCTGGTGAAGACAAGACTTTCAGGCAAGGCTGTGTAGCAAGCCAGTTTAATTGTTTGGGTTTTTTTGCATTTTAAATGCTGGAAATGCTGCTGTCTTTTGGAACTAACTTAAGTCATTAGTTATAACATCATAGAAAAGTAGGGTTAGAAGGGACCTCACAAGATCATTTAGTCCAGCATCATGCTGTAGGCGGAACCATCCTTGACTAAACCATTGCAGCTGTCTGTACAACCTACTCTTGAAAACTTCCAAGGATGGAGATTCCACAATTTTACTAGGTAGCGTGTTCCAATGCTTGACCATCCCTGTAATCAGAAAGTTTCTTATTCTCCAACCTAAACTTCCTCTGCTGCAGCTTGAGGCCATTGATCAGTGGCCATTGCTTCTGTCCCTTGCAGCCACAGAGCAAAGGTCTTCTCCACCCTCTCTATAATTGCCCATCAGGCATTTGAGAATTTATTAAATCCTTCCTTAAGTCTTCCCTTTTTCAGACTAAGTAATCCTAGCTCTTTTAGACTTTCCTTATAAGTAATGCTGCCCACGCCCTTTAATCATTGTTGTAGCTTTTTGCTTGACTTTTTTCAAGCTGTCTGCCTCCTTTTTGAAGTATGGTGCTGAAAACTGGACACAGTAGTCCACGTAAGGCCTCACTGGTGCTGAATAGAGCAAAAGAATCCTTTTCCTTACACTTCTGTTGATATATCCCAGTATCCTGTTTGCTTTTTTGCAACAAGAGCACACTGTTGGTTCATTCAGCGTACAGTTCTTTTATAAATAACATTTGGCTTCCTTGGGTAAAACTTCCTACAGGTCTGTCCTCTCTGTAGGTTTGTTGTATAGAATTTTAGTGTGTAAAGTGATTTTTAATTTTGTTTTGCTCCATGTGGGAGTTGTCCCACAAGCTGTGTCATCTTCTGCCCTCTCTGGCTCATGATGACAAAGTAACCTTTTGCTTACCTTTTCTGTAGCACAACAAAAAACATTAGATTCCTTTGTTAGGAGTCTAGGTTTTTGCTATTCAGGCTCCCTCTTAAACTCTGTTTTTTGCTTGGCTGCTCATTGGTTATAGTTTCATTTAATGCTGGAATAATTGGGATAGGTAAGCCTTTTGGGTGAAGCTGTGAAAGACAAGTGTCTGTATTGAACAAAATATGGTACTAACTATCTGCCCTATTTCTGTTTCTCCATGAAGTCCTCTTTGGATGGTGTAGCTATTATGATGAAATGTTTTTTTTGTCTGTTTGTTTTCCAGCCCTCCCCCCCACATTTCCTCTCTTCTGTGGCTTTTTCCTTGTACATGTTTTTATGTACACTGCTGGTACCCAAAGACCATAGTTTGTTTGTTGTTTGGTTGTTTGTTTGTTTGTTTGTTTGTTTTTTCTTCTCTTGGAGGCTCTTATCTGGAAAATGCAGTGATAATCCTTGCGAGGAAGAATGCCTTATAAAGACTACCTCTTACAACTTTGTTTCCCTTTTTAGGTTAGATCCTTAGCTTATGGCAGTAATTAGCATTTTGGCCATCAAAGACACTTTTTCAGTTTTAAATAGAGAAACTTTTTCTCTAATACTTGTATCATTCTTATTTGGAGATGATCAATACAGGCAGCATGGGAATCTGCAGTCTTGAGGGGCTGTTGTCAGGAGGCAGGATAGTAAAATGCCTCTCTATTTAAAGTAACTCAGGATAGTTATGGAATGCTTCATTCCTTGTATTATAACTTCTGTCTTCCTTTTGACTTTACTGGCTGTTGGCTCTGGATTTAGGACCCAGATAGATGCCTTGTTCTGGAGTGGTAGAGACCTACCCTCAGACCGACCACGACCTTTCCATTCAATAATAGGCAAACTTATTGATGCACAGTGATAACAGAGAAGAAATTAATACAAACAATCAATTAATTCTGTAGCTACCAATTCTAGGGCTGTCATCAGAGTCAAGAAATGTCTGGCCAGGATGCAGGCTTCACTCTGAAGGCTCTCTTAGGTGTCAGCAGCCTGGAGGTGGGATACCAAGGCCCCTCCCCCTCCAGTGGAGTGGATGAGACAGGCTGATGATGTGCCCTCTCTGCATGGTTGCTTTGGGGACCCTTCCTGAGGGACAGGGACCCTGTGGGGGAGGAGGAGGATGCGGGCTTTTTGTTATTCTCAAGTCACTGCTTTTGTATTCTTTCTTCCTCCTGATGACTCTTGATGATTCTTCATCCTTGACTATCACTGCTTGGTCTTTGTGTTTGTTATACTATCCACATCCTGTGTTGTCAGCACATTCCGTTTTCATAAACCTATCACATGCTGACATCCTACTTTGGAGCTTTACTGGTGTCCTCCTAATTTGGTCTGTTCCCCCAAAACTGGAAAACTGGCCCCCTGCTCTGGAACTTTGTGAACTGGTACCACCTTCTCTCATGTTATGGAACAGTGTGGTACATGCCCCCAGTTTCTCAGACTGTGTGCACGCACTGGCCTTGTTGTGTTAGACAGCCTGTCTGCTTCTAAGGGATCAGAAAACTGTGCACGAGACCCAGGCATTCTAATGCGCATATGTGTGTGTATGTGTATGCACATTAGAATGCCTGGATCTCGTACACAGGTTTCTGAGCCCTCAGAAGCAGACAGGCTGTCTAACACAACAAAGCCAATGGATGGACACACCCACACCACACCCCCAAACCTTTAAATACCACTTTTACGCCATCACTGGCTAGAGCAATTTTTTCTGGTATTATTCTAGGCCAGTGGTCTGGCAGGGAGGGGCTTCTAGTTGAGGAACTAACTCATGCTTGAGGTGTCCCTTTCTGTTCAGTAATAACAGCTTTGTGCCAGTCGTGCAACAAAGACTAAAAACTGGCCAGCGGAGAGCTGAGCTTCTGGCCTTGGTTCTCAAAACAGAGCAAGTAATCGACCCAGCTACCTTTTGTAGGAAGAGAGAGAGGATGAGAGCCTTGCTTTTTTTCCCTGTTATTGGTTATCGGAAGGATTTTTGTTCTACCACTCTGCTAACATAAATAGCTTTAGGAGGAAAATTAATAGGTAAGAGACTGTACTTTCTAACTCGCCTTCTAGCCCTCCCATGTCTGATGCTGAACCTGGGTTGTAATGTGCTCTAAATACAGAATGCATTTCATGCTAAACAGTAAACCAAGGATATAAATGAAGACTTTGTGCTTGTGTGCATGTGTGCGTTCATTACTACCTTGTTGAATTTCAGAATGTGGATTTATTAATGATGAGATATTTGTGGAGCTGGTCAATGCACTTGGTCAGTATAGTGATGATGAAGATGATGATGATGGAGATGATATTTGTGATGAGAGAGATGAAAAGCAGAAAGACCGAGAAGGCAATAGAATAGGTATGTCAATATAAGTATTTCTTTTTGTATTTATTTGCTCAATGGAAGTTTACTTCTCACAAACATAAAATAGAAAGTGGTTAACAGATCTTTCCTCGGTATTTCCTATGCAGTTCAGTTCCCTAATTAGCCTAGAGCAATGGTATTCAACCCTTTGTCCTCATTTGTATGATGAGTGGCATGGGGCAGTTCATGGGCTGGCTTGGGTCGGGCCCCATGCTGCCAATTAGCATGCAGGGCCATGTTATCTAGCCTGTGGGACCCCCATGCATTTGGGAATTTGGCTGCAGGGAGTAGCAATTAAGGCTTCTCTGCGGCCAAATTTTCAGATGCTTGGGGGCCCAGTGGGCCAGATGACTTTGTTCTGTGAGACAGCTCTGACGCACGGGCCAGGAGTTGAGAACCCCTGGACTAGAGACTATTATAAGTAGGCTGACCATATGGAAATCTCTAAAATCTGGAACAGCATCTTAGAAATGCAGATACTGCCTGCAGTCTGGGATACTGCCTGCAAGGTGCTCTGCACTGATCTAACCCCTGGCCAGACTGTGCCCCACACCCCTATGTTTCCAGGATGTCCGTTATAATTCTCAATAGCTGGCCAGGACCAGCCTCTGAAATCCAGGATTGTCTCTGCTAAAACGGGACTTATGGTCATCCTAATTATAGGTAGTAGTATTGCAACTTGATATTTCTCTTTCATCTGAGATGGATATGCTTCTCATGGTTGTCACCTGTATGGTAGTATTGTGCAGCTTTTAATAAGGAAAGAGTAGGTAAGTATGGCTGATAATTTGACTCTCCATCTACAGGTGTTAGCCATATACATTTGTACAGAGGATTTTTTTTCCCTACTGTAAATCCCTTTTTTTTTTATTACTTTACAAACTAAAATTTTCAACTTCATTACGTCAGGTCTTTAGCTTTTATTAGTTTAAGCCAGTAGGTCCTCCCCACCCTTTTCAATATTGGAGTAAGCAGTAAGTTTACATGTAGAGCAACATACAGACGCACGCACGCTATTGCATGGAAAAGCAAAATAATTTTCTTTTTTATCCCCCCACCTTTTTTTCCCCAAACTTCTTATCTGTCCGTCTTTGCAGACAAAGAGAGTCATCCACCTCGGAAATTTCCTTCTGATAAGATATTTGAAGCCATTTCCTCAATGTTTCCAGACAAGGGTACAGCTGAGGAACTGAAGGAAAAGTAAGATCTCTGTTGTACTTAATCATTGTGTGGGCTTCGGGGTTTTTGGCTCTCAAAAAAAAAAAAAAAAAAAAAAAGTTTGTTGCCAGCTGGGGGAGAGTCATCACTTCAGGCCTTAGGACTGGGAGGTGAAATTTGATGGCAGTAGTATAGGTTATATAGGTGATATTTAAAAGGCATTGGTTGTTTCAGATAAAGTATGAGAGACCACTGTTGCCTAGTGGATAAAGCACTGAACTGGGACTCAAGTCCTGCCTTCTATGCCTGGCTCTGCCACTGATCTGCTGGATGATCTTGGGCAAATAACTTCTGTAAAATGGTACTGAAGATATCAACCTCATTTGGGGTGGGGGTGTGGGGGCTTGAATCTACAAATGAAAAATATTACATGGGAGAGAAGGGTAGTGTATAAGCCTTACCCAGGGGTTATCAAAAATATTTATGTATATGTTTTTGCTTTGGCCTTTCAATGAAGGAGAGAATACCCTACTGCTGTAATCTTTGAGTGCAATGGGAAAGCTTTATCTGGAGGGGATAATGTTTCTAAAACAATAAATTTATCCCTGCCTTATATCCATTTGTGGATTAATGAGTAAAGAAATAGTAGTTTGTCATAAGAGCTGCACATACATAGCCATCAAGGACATTTTATTACGTTTGATTCAAATAATTCAGATTTTTACTTATGTTGTGGCCTTGGAAACTAGATACAAAACTGAATCCCCTGCCCCAACCTCCCAAGATAAATGGGTGGAGAGATGATTATGGGTGATTGGTGCCAAATTCTTGTGTAAATTCAAAATAACTACAGATAAATCCAGATTTACTTTTGGATTTATCTCTTTATTTGGTTTATACTTGATTGTTTCTGTATAGGTAAGCAACTTTTGATTTGATGTTTTTTTCACAGATACAAAGAACTCACAGAGCAGCAGCTTCCAGGAGCTCTTCCTCCTGAGTGTACACCAAACATAGATGGACCAAATGCTAAATCTGTTCAGAGGGAGCAGAGTCTGCACTCCTTTCATACGCTCTTCTGTAGGCGCTGTTTTAAATATGACTGCTTCTTGCATCGTAAGTGCAGTGATAGCAACATTTTTGTAGTACATCTGTTTTACGTTATGGAACTCAAGAAGTTGTAAGTAGCATTAGTGTACAATGTATAACAGGATGGGGGAAAAAGTGCTAATAGGTGCTAAAATTAAATATGGTAATATTAGAATGATGTTGTAGCCATGATGGTCCAAGATTTTAGATGGAGACAAAGATTTTGTAGGGTGGTATCTTTTATTGGATTAATTGTATAGTTGGGATGGAGTTAGACAAGCTTTCAAATGCAAGAAATTCTTCATCAGGTTTGAGAGACTGCTGTGTTGGCTTTTCTAAAAAACTGTTGAAAGGAGGATGGGGAGAGAGTTCCTAGGGCAGCACAAACAATTAACAGAAAAAGTAGCAGATTAGTGGGAGATCAAGGTCTGTCAAATGGAGGAAGGTCATTATCACCTCTTTGAAAAGAATTCAGGAATCAGGTATGTTTATAATATACCATAAAGCCAATATTATTAAGCCCTTGGTTCTTAGTGTCCATCCAGCTTATGAATTTTTGTCCCCAAGTTCTCCTTTTAAGTGTTGGGCAGATTTCTCTTGAGCGTAAGGATAATAAGTTCAGAGGGGGAGTGGCTGTTTTGTGAGAAATGTGCTCCTAATGGTGTATGTTTGTCTTTTTATATTTCTTTCTGTAAGAATTCATTCTGGTGCATGGTTTTTTGTTTCATTTCACCCGAGTAGTTGATGGCATTTGGTGCATTGGATCAGGTATATCATATTTTTGAAAAGGCATGTGTAGGAACCATGAACTCTGAGGGTTTTGTTGTGGGAGTTGTTCATTGTAGTAACAGTGAAGGTATATTGACGGGTTAAGCATTTCTTGCTAAAGCAAGGCTGTGTTCCTCTTGACGTTTGGGCAATGGAGAGTTTGCCTCTCTGAGTTGGGCAAGGTTGAATAGTTGTTTGAAAACCAGGAGCAGAGGGGCTGGGAATATTTCATTCAAGGTCTCATTTATGAGTGTAGGTTATAATTGTTTCATAATCAGAGAGAGAAGATGGAGCAAGATTATATTGGTGGTATAGATGAGGTCACAAACTCAGACGGTGACAGTCAACAAATTAATTGCCTAAAGATTCCAGCTTTGTGGGGCCATAGAAGGCTTTAGCAGCACTAGTCGTAGTGTCTTGGTGCCAAAGAATGGATAAATTAGAAATGAAATGTCGATATAGAAAGCCTGTGCTAATATCCAAAGATAAAGTGGAGGTCTTCATTTAAGGCATCTGTAGGTGCTCTTCTATAATGGCAACTTTGCCAGACACACCTTTTGGATGAACAGAAGTAAAGAAGACTTTCTGAGAAGCCATTGGTACTGTAGATATCCATCTTCTAGATCTGCTATTCTAGAGAAAGGTACAGGTGGCTGCAGAAGTTCATAAAATCATCTGAGGCTTAAAGATAATTAAACTGTCAGGTTCTATGCTTCCAATTACAGCAGTGCAATGTGACTATGATCACCAAGGCCATGTCGATTATAGAATGGAGTCCTAATTTTCAGAGGAGCACTTCTTTTGGCCAGAGAACTCCAGACGCACCAAAGCTAAGTCCTCTATATGGCAGGCCCCAAGTAGCAGGCACTGTGGACTCTAGATTCTCCAAAACCACTAATACTAAATTTGTGACTTGGAAAGGGTGGCTCAGTTCAACAGAACAGACATCTTCAAAAAGGTATTTGTTTTCAGGGAGGTCAGATTTGGACTACTTTTTCCTTTGCCTTCAAGTAGCTTATTGTAAAAATATGTTGACTTGTGCACTGTCTAACACCATATTTGATTCTCTTTTCCACAATAGCTCATATGCTTACTTGAACTTGGATCTGTTCCTTTTAAAAGTAGTATCTATTGTGTGTTGTTCAGTCGAGGAAAAACTGCGAAGCATACAACAGTTATCTTGTCCAGTTCAGCTGCCACAGCCTCAGGAATGAAAAGCAGCATCCAAAAAAAATCTGATTCACATGTGGAGAATAGAGTGCCACCTCGGTTTTCCAACACCATTATTTTTCCCTGAATCAGTATTTAAGATTAGGTTTGGGTCTATGAATTTCACTGTTTCTAGGAAAATAAACAGACCTATATACAGGCTGTGTTCAGTTTCTCTGTAGTTATCGATTTAGGTCTTCAACTCAGAGGAAGGTTGGTCCCTTCGATTTCAAGATGGCTACTTAGACAGTGATTTTTATGCTTTCTGATGTTTTGTTACTATTGCTATCGGTCTCTTCAGTTTCTGACCTGGAAACAATTGGAAAAAAGCCATCTCATATAAAGATAATGCTTACAGGAACCTTGAAAGAGTTGTTGTGTTTTTTTTTAAACAAGTGTTTAGCAAGACTGTGCATGCGTGTGCACGTGCGAGAGGGAGAGAGAGAGAGGAAACCATTGTTAGGTTGTGTTCTAGAGAACTGTGTCCAGATGATTAATTGAATGAAGAACTCATTATTCTTGGCTAGTCTTCCTGGAGTTCTGATTCAATACACACCCTGTTGACTCTTTTAGTATAAGATAGTCATGCCAAATGAGTGTCAGATACAAACATTGATGTGACCTGAGTCAATGTCTGTATTATATACCTACATCTAGCAGTACTGGTAGTAGTGAAGTGGGAAGCCATCTGCAGGCTCACTTCTGTAGATCAGATTGCAGTGCTTTCTTTATTTGGACTCAAATGTTTTCCTAACTGCTAGTTGTCATGAAAGTGGATCTGTAAGGTGCTAGCTGATAAAGAGCAACTCGTGTGGGAAAGGATGCATCTTCGCATCCTTCCCATGGAGAGTAGTCTGAATCTGAACACAGTAAAATTAAGTAAGTATTGCATGGGCTGTTGATTTTGGTGAGGGGTGGGAAACTGCCACAATTTGTCAGGCAATAACATCACAAAAGGATTAAAACAGTGTCAGATTAGCTAATTGGAGACCACATGTCCAGTAGAATGAAAAATTGGTCACCAGCTGTTTGTCATATATGCCAGCTTGGTTGACTAATTGCCAGCAGGATTCTGTCGCTGTTTTAAAAAATCCAGAGAATAAATATTCTATCCTCATTTTCCATTAGAAAACAAATATCCCAAATGTTGTGTATTATCATGTCATGTGGACCTTCACTCGAACCCATGGAGAAGAAGAATACTACAAAAGATAGTGAGGTTTGCTTCTTTCTGATTGCTGAGGACTAGGCAAAAGGGCATTATTCCCAGATTTGGTGAATTTGCCAGTGGAACTGGCATCCTGGCTTCTAGTTAATAGGCTTTAAAATGTTGGATCCAGTTGTCATCATTGATAAAGTTCACCACTGGCTTACAGCATAATTCTGGATAGGGTGACCTCAGATGGGGGGAAATATCCATCAGTGGCACTTTATTCTTTTATAAGCGATCTATCTGTGTATAATACAAAAAAATTTGTTAACAACTGTGCTAATAAAGATGGTACATGCTGTCTACAGTTTTGTACTTTGGAGTTTTTGGAAGAGGAATATTTTGATGATGAGAATTGGGTCACTAATAGGGCTGTGCAAAATTTCAGCAGCTGTTTCATTTCTGAGGTGTTTCGGGCCATTTTGGCACCCGCAACACCAAATCCGGTCGAAACGGAAGGCTTTGAAACATCTATGAAATGAAACGAGGCATCCAAAAAGTTTCAGAACTGTTTTGGAAAATTTTGGAGTTTCAGAGCTGGGCTTGCAGGGAAACAGCTGTACACTGCTGCCCTGCTGCGTAACTTGGCTCTTCAGGGAGCAGAGATCTGCGCTGGGGTCTCCTCACCACCACTGCCTGCCCTGTGCAGCCCTAGATCTCTGCTACCTGCGGAGCTGAGTCATGGCAGGGACCAGCAGGCTTGCTTGCCACTCTGCACTGCCTTCCTGCCCTGCAACCTAGCATGACAGGAATTGGAGATCTGTGCAGGGGTCTCCTTGCCTGCACAGAGGGCAGCAGCCCTCCCCCGGACAAGCCACCCACAACCCTGTCCTGCTCCCTACTGAGGCCCCTAGCCCCAAGCTCTCCCCAGCTGGGCAGTAGGGCTGTGTGAAGCTTGCAGCCCATTCGAAACAGATTGGGAGGTGATTCCGCTCTGCAGATTCAGCCAAAGCAAAACAGGACAGCTCTAGTCACTATTATTCCTTCAGCAGGAACTGCTGTAGGTTTTCAGAGTCCTATGGATACCTTGTCATTGGGGTGCATTGCATCGTATCACTATTATAAAACAGCAGAGTTAAGATGGTTTAATCAAACCTGTCCTAGCAGAAAATAGATCTTAGTCCTGAATCTCTCTCAAAATTCCTGTTTGAGCCATTGTGAAAGATTTTTCTTAGATTCTTACTCCCCGAAGTGTATGTTTTGCTCTTCAAGGTGGCAGTCTCTAGACTCTGGCTTGCAAGTATTTTGCATCGCTTTTTTTCATCACGATATGGTAGTTATCTGGAAAGTTCCATTATTTAATGAAGTCTTTCTTCACTCAGAAGAACCCTTCACTTTCTTTTCTTGCTTACACAAATAAGCAAACATCTATTTTTTGTGGGGGCGTTTTTTGATGGAACCAGAGCTTTAAGAATTTTTTAAAGAACCATGGTTCAGTTGTCTGAGACTGGACAAACCAAACAGCCTGAAGGGAGGGGGACAGGGACAGGTAGGTGACTTAGTGCTGCAGGCATGCATCAGTTGATCTTTTGCAACTATAATCTGCCCACTGCTAAAACTGCAGTAATTTTACTCATGAATGAAACAGGTGGTAAATTATTGTGGAGTAATGGAATTGTTACCATGGTTCAGCTGAATCCTCTAACCTTGCCCTATAAAATCATAATAAGTGGTCAGTCTATTCACATCCTGTGATATCTTGCATTTTATGCAAGTGGTAACAAGTCAAAAGCTAAATCCATCTTGTTGAATTAAGAATAAAAGATTTACCAAAAAAAGTTTGCATCAGTGGTGGGAAGGTTGTATTGACAACATTCAGGGCACAAGCAGCAACATGAAGAATTACTTCTTGTACAAATGTTTGATGCCTCTCTGATGGCACAACAGAACAACTAAATAAGCTATCTTCATACCATTGCTAAAGCACTGGAGAGTGATATCTAGGCTCTTGCAGCTGCAGTTATCAAAATAGGTGTCTGGTAGCAATGGTGGGATGCAATAGCAGCTGGAATACTAACTTGGGCGATCCAAATGCCTGGTACGGCATAAGCTCAAAAAAGGCTGAAAACTCTCCATATCTGATCTCTTTACTGAAGGAAGTTACTTTATCCTGCCTCTGTTAGTCTACATTCCCATCTTCTTGAGAATAGTAGCAGGCTTTTATCACAAAGTTTAAATTCCTAGTTACATGTTGGAAATTCAGTAGACTTCTGAAGTCTGCTTGATGAGCTGTCAGTCCCTTTATATACTGGTATATATGATGACACTCATGAAAATCTTTTACTGTTGTCTTCATGTGTTGGTAGTGAGGAATTTGTATCTAAGCATCTGGACTTGCAAAGAATATTAGAAGGAAAATTATTAGGTAGGGAGAATTTCCAAAATAGTTTATTATGGATTAAAAGTACATTCAAAGTTAAAATGTTACATATGTGCTTGAACATTGTAAAATCGTTAGGGTTCAGTGAGGTCTTGAGGACTGAGCCTGTTGGCGATGATACAGGTTATAAATCCCAGGATGAAGCATGAGAGCTACAGACCAAGCTTTCTTGATTGGAAAGGACTTGGCTATAAAATGAATTTCTAGAAGAAATCATGTGAATCCAAAGTTTTATTTTTATTTATTTTTTTAGGAAACTATCTGTAAAGTCTTTCACTTTTGGAGGGGGAGGGGTGAGGAGAGGGAGGGCAGAAACCCTTTTCACTGAAGAAAAAACGATGTTCAAAAAGTTGATACACCTGATTGGACAAATTTACCTTTTCATCCTTTTTTAAAACAAACTAAGGACAAAGTACTCCCTGCTGTTTTGATTGATAGATACAGATTGAATTCTTCAGGTGCAGTGTTTTGAAGCATGTGTGTATGTGTATCTCCAAATATTATTTTTGTAAACTTTGTGGTGCTGGGTGTTAGAATATTGGCATGCCTCACCGTGTTCTGTTACAAATTAAATGGCAGCATCTTAATTTTTTTGCTTTTCTGCTGACCAGGAAAAAAACTGACAAATTTGAGGACGAATATAACTCCACCCAAACGCTGTTATGATAGAAACGTCTCCATGTGAAACTAATACATATAACAAAAGTAGTTTTGATTTTCTGCAGATTGCTGTAGTCTGGTAAACTGCAAGCTTGGGTCCCAGCTGTGTGCTCATTTTACTGCAAAGCCATCTTCTTTTGGGTATGAAGAGAAAATAAGTCTTTTTCTTGAGCACTGAAAATTGTTCAGCTTTTCCAAGACTTGGTTGCTTTCTGTTTTCCTGCTCCCTTTCATTTCTTTTAAAAGCTGAAAAGAAATGAACAAAATTGATGATATTGAATCTTCAGATTTGTAAAGTTTCTTTGTGTATTTTATCTACGTGACATCTGAACAATTCAAGTGTGTGTGCATGCGTGCACGCATGTGTGTAAATCTGTTATGTAGATGAAAAAGACATGTAAAGTTGCTCTTAACAGTAACTCACAAGTTACGCTAACTGATTTTCTGTTTGTAGCTGTACTCCTTTTGTACTTGCCTATATACTGTGGGTGCCAAATGGGCAAATGGCAATGTTTGCAAATAAGAGGCATAGAATTCCTTTATAAAAAGAAGAGTACAAAATTATTGGATCAGGTACAGCTTCATGTCAATCTGCACTTAATTTTTTTTAATCTCTGAAAGGTTTTATGTACTTTATGAATTGATTAAACTTTGGAACACCTATTAAATATGTAGTACCCTTTTCAGAGGCTGGATTTGGTTCATAGTGTAGGTGTGCCCTGACCTGGGTCCAGTCTGCTCACATGGGGCTTGGAAATTTGGCACCAGGGTAGGGGTGGTAGTGTTAATTGCCTGCTTTCCCCCCTCTGCCAAATTTCAAGACCCAGGGGGATTCCGCTGGTTACAGAGTGGGACAGGGTTGAGCTCCCCTGGATTATGATAATGACTATATGCATGTAAAGTTGCATGAGATGTATAATCAGAAATCATTTTCTAATTATATTCATATGCATACTTAAATTCTATCCTCTTTTAGATTGTATGTTCAGCTATTAACATTTTCATTTCCTGACTTGAGTCTGTATGTAACAATCACACATTCCAATGAAATACTTCATAAGGAATTATTTAACAAGTTTGTGGCTCCTTGCAGTAAGCACTTGACAACTAGCATTGTCAGAGGGAATGTGAAGATTTTTAGGATGTTTAAGAATTAAAGGTTCTTAGACTTGTGACTTGATTTTGTGACATTTGTAGAACAATACAAAACAAATAGCCAGGAACAGAATCTGAGAATTGTCTGAAAAGCATCTCTTCCCCTACCTGCCCTTTTTTTGGGTCAATGTGGTAATACTGTGTATTGGCTTTTCTGCCACTGGATATTATTTGGTTTAAAATGGAACAAGGAAATCATAACTGCAAACTCTTTTGGGCTGAGAGTTCAAAATGAGAACTGCTTATGTATCTTTTAAACACCAGCTTGCCAGCCCATGTAAATTGGTGCAACTTGCTGTGTCCATAGCAATGATTTTTAATCATGATACTGGTGTCCCAGGATGCTGCGCACTATTAACACTGTTAGATATGGAAACACCTACACATTATTCACAAGATAAGCCCAGAGATTTCATATAGTCTCTTATATAGTGTCAAAAACTTTCTGACCAGCTATGCTTTTTCTGAGTTCTTTAAAACGGAGCAATTTTTCTGTTGCTGTAGAGAAGAAACAAGTGAAGGCTAAGAGCTGGGATTGTGAAGGGTGCCTTGAGTCTAACACAGGGTGCCATGAGTCGTCTCCCCCACCCCAAAAAAGGCTGAGAACCACTGGTTAATAGTGTCTTCACATGCAGTCAGTAGTGCTACATCAGTTTATACTCGCTGGTCTAGTATGTTTACTGCTTTGGTTGTCTTGATATTGTGGAAATTTCAAACTTCTTTTCTGGATGTAATATTATAACTATTAAAATGAATGTTATCTTCTGTGTTATGCAATTGAAGTATAACATTTGCACTGTGGAATTAAATTGTTCACCATTGGGACTTGAGCACAAATCTTGTTTATGCATAGTGGCTGTTTTTTAAAATCTTAATTACTTTTAAGAAAGAACAGTTAATATTACCAAAGTGTTCCTATTCTAAGGATAGAGAGAAATGTACATACTGCTGTTACTTAATGCAGCAAACCTGTAAAAGATTATAGTGGTAATTATTTTAATTGCTCTAATAATAAATATTTATGTATGTTAGATTCTAAATAGAGATTAATGATCCTCTAAGAGTTTGATTCTCACTCTAGGCTATAAGTAGGATCACAGGTGGGATTTATTATCTTTTTACCTTATGGTTAATTTTATATAAGTATTGACTTTTAAGAAAATGATTTTTTTTTTTCATTTGGGTAGCAGAGCACTCTGAATTCAGGGTAGATAGCATACTAATAATGACATCATCTTAAACATTTCTGTAAACATTTATTTTCCTTAATCTTTATAATAATCCATTGGAAACAAAAACAAGAGATCTGGGTTTTTTTACTAGTTTTTCCTCTTTCACTGGGTATCTCGGACAAGGAGTTTGATTTTATTTTCCTTTCTGTTTTTTGTTCAGTTTTGACACAGTTAGTACAGAAAGGTATTAGCTTGGAAGCTCATCTAAATTATGCTCCCATGGTGACCCTGATCTGTGGTCAAGAGAGCTAAGTATGTTTTGAACAAATGAATATGATCTGTCTCTCAAAATAATAAAGGTGAACCATAACAAAAGGTGTATACTCCTTGCTATGATATAGAAAGTAGACTTTGAAAGTGGTATTTTATTTCCTCCTTGGGAAAAAAAAAATGTGGAAATGTCTGTCCATTTTATTCTATGAGTATGAGAGCACTATCAGAATAAGAGCACTGTGGAAACCTGTGAGTAAAATTTTAAAAAGCGTCTAAACAACTTAGGACACTGGGTTCTATTGACTGTCTCCACACAAGTTTTTCACCCCTAATTAGTTGAATAACGGCAAAAACATGGAAGTCTAGCTATCTAAAGGTGTGTGTGGTAGCTACTTTGAGGTTATCTTTGGTACAGCTGTTAAGATGTCCCACTGAAGTTCAGCGTGAATCCTTGGATGCTTTTTTTAAGTAAGACACCTCCACCCTATAAGTAATATAAAGGAGGCTTAATATGAATGGCAAAATGAGTCCACTGTCTTTCCAAAGACCGACCAAATAAGAATTGACTCTTTTTAGGTATTAGCTATGATCAGTCCTGGTCTTTGTACTGGATGTAAAATGTATGTTAATAAAAAATCCCAGAATGAAAATGATACTAGTGGTATAAAATGCTTTATCTCTCCTCCTCAAAAAAATCTGCTTATAGGAGAGAAAAGAATAGTAGTCTACATTATGATACTGATCTGAATAAGTACTTACACTTAGCTTTCCAAAGGTTTATTTACCTGCTTTCTTAGATTCTTTTTTTGAATAACAAATGAAATATCACTTAGTTTCTCCCCTGCCTATTACCAGTATTGCCATATTAAAGGTCTGGTACTTGGTCTGGTTTGATCTTGGATGAAACTGAGCAGGAGACCGTTTTATTTTATTTGTTGTTTGTTTGTTTGTTTAAGACTCACTTGAGTAATGTTTTTATTTGACAGCATTCCATGCAACTCCTAACACTTACAAACGGAAGAATACAGAAACAGCAATAGATAATAAACCTTGTGGACCGCACTGTTATCAGCATCTGGTAAGATAATTTCTTTGATTGCAGGGTTGGGAGATTTTTTTTCCCTTGCTCTGTGTCCATGTATACTTGGATATGAATCACGGGAAGAATTCTTTTATTTGATGCAATTAATTGACAGTTTTCCAGTTGCATAAAGGGTGATTTTAGGATTACTACCTGTGCATAAGTACCATTACCCCTGCAGTATGGACACACAAGCATATGCAGTAACTCAACATCATTCCTTGGGGTCAGGGAGGCAGACCCTCCCCCCTTTAGTTCCAGTCAGAGTGATTCGGGCACTTCAGCAGCCTGGGTTTTAGGACCTGGAGAATGGATTGGATAATACCTGTTTTGTGGCATGGTGGTAAGAGCACTGTGTTAGGAAGCTGGGGAGATACTGGTTCAAACCCACTCTGGGTAAATGGGGCCTAGATTTTGGGTCTCCCACTCCCTAGGCAACTATAACAACTAGGCCATTGGACTTAGAGGGGAGGGACTGCCTCCCTTGTCATGGGTATTTATCCAGCTATGTCTTTATGACTTGGGTATCCATGGTGGACATGCATGTACCCAGGTGGTGCGTAGCCTACTGTACGCACTGTAGGGATAATAGAATCTTGAAGTTCGCAGAAGTGCCAAAAACACCATTTGCACAGCTGGAAAACTGTCATGTAGGTGCCCAAAGAGTAATAGAATTCTAACCCTAGTATTTAATTAGATTACATATTTTTGTCAAACTAATTAATTTAGCTGTATAACAAGGGTGTTTAGGAGAACGTTGGTGACTAGTTTCTCACATGGTGTCAGGAGTCCTGGGAGATGCAAATTTAAGGTGCTGGTTACTTTCAGTCAAATGTTTCATGGTATTTTTTTTTTGTGAGAGTAAGGGTGTTAGCATCAAGGACTTGGTAACTCCATATTGGGAAGCTGAATTTGTTTTACCTGCATAAGATGCACAATGTTAGGCTCAGATTTTTAAAAAATGGGCATTTTTGACAGTACATACAGCTTTCCCTGTAATGGTGTTGCGTCCATCCAAACCTTAGTTTCCCTACTCATCTGTGACTTTACCTGTTTATGGATGGCGGGGGGGGCATAATTTAAATTATTTTTCATTTAATTTTAAATTCTAAACTGGAGATGCTGTTTCTTCAACAGAGAGGTTTCCCAGTCTTTGCATCCTGATGAAGCTAATGTGGCAAAAAAGTGCCATCTGCTTTTGGACTGTATCAGCCCTAAGTTGATAAAGTTTCCATTCCATTCTTTACGCTTTTCTCAGGGTAGCTGTTCAACAGAATAAACCAAATATAATTCTGTAATCTATAAATCATTTAAAATACATTCTTAGATTCCATGCCACTTCAAAGCCAACTAGCACAAGTAGTGTTGTGTAAAATTAGACCACTTTTAGTCATTATATTCTGATAGTTCCTAGCATCTCTTGTTCACAGTGGACTTTGCGCAGGAAAATATTTTTCTTCCCTCAAATTATTTTTTATCTGTTTGGTTAAAGGGAAAACAAAATAAAATTAGATCTCTAAATATGTTCTACTAATGATAACCTTCATATTTTCAATGAGCCTTCATTGGAATAGAATCACAAAAGCATCCTAGATAAAAATATATAAATGAATAAAAAAGTGAACATTTTAGCTGAAGTTTAAATTTGTAAAATGCATATTAACGTAGAAAAATAGACTTGGGCCTGAAGTAATTCATTATTCATTCCCATCTTTTTTTCTACCCACAAATTTAAAATATTTCAAATTCATGATCTGAAAACTCTAGTGTTGTTTTACATAGGAAGGGGCAAAGGAGTTTGCGGCCGCGCTCACTGCTGAGCGTATTAAAACACCACCAAAGCGCCCAGGTGGTCGCCGAAGGGGAAGACTTCCAAATAACAACACCAGTAGACCCAGCACACCAACAATAAATGTGTTGGAATCAAAGGACACTGATAGTGACCGGGAGGCTGGAACTGAAACTGGAGGTGAAAATAATGATAAAGAAGAAGAGGAGAAGAAAGATGAAACATCCAGCTCCTCTGGTAAGGCTGAATAATGTTTTAATAAAGGAGCCACAAACTTGTTAAGTAATTAATTATGAAATATTTCATTGGAATGTGTGATTGTTACATACAGACTCAGTAGTCAGGAAATGATAATGTTAAAGAGTCAAATGTACAACTTAAAAGACGGCAGAATTTAAGTATGCAGTTTTGAGGAGGGCTCAGAGCGTTGCAAACCAGCTTTAAAACCTATGTATTTTGAATCTAAGTGGGCTTTTTACTGATCAGGGATTAGCAACAAATGGCTCTGGATTAGATCTGGTCTGCAAAAAGGTCGGATCCAACCCATGAAGGTCAAGTCTATATGGAGGTGATCTGTGGCACAGGGCTGCATTATGCTGCCCATCCTCTCCACACTGTGGAGCCTGCTGCTCTGTTGTGTCTGTACTTGCTGTTGCTACAAAGTGGTTGGGGATCAGTGGTGAGGGCAGCTGCAGGCAGCTGGCCACACCAGGGGGTGCATACTCGCAGCCCACACGGAGAAAAGGTTCCTGACCCTTGAACTTAGAAGACCACATATGAATAGTTTTGTCACAGAGTCCTATGATGAAAGTTCAGAATAGTTATTTTACACTGTGCTATCTCAGTTCTTTCCACTATCTGACTGTAGCTTCTCAAATAGGTATGTGAAGGCTTCTCAATTTGTTGCGTTTTTCCACTGGAAAAATATTGTAGATACTTTACAACAGAACTTCATTCTCATATTTTAAATCCATGACTTGATATTTTTGAAGGTTCATGGAAAGCGTTAAATTGTAAAACCAGCTTAAACTGATAGATATCTTTTGATTGTTGCAGAAGCAAATTCTAGGTGTCAAACACCAATTAAGATGAAGCCAAATATTGAGCCTCCTGAGAATGTGGAGTGGAGTGGTGCAGAAGCCTCAATGTTCAGAGTTCTTATTGGCACCTACTATGACAACTTTTGTGCAATTGCCAGGTTAATTGGGACCAAAACGTGTAGGCAGGTAAGAAGTGGAAAAGGCTCACTGAGATGGCAGCATGTGATTTCTACCCCCTAACCCCCCCCCCCTCACT